TTTTCTGTGACTGATCTTGCCTTACTCACCGTCATGGCATACGACCGATATGTCACTATCTGCTAACTACTGCTCTATGAGAGAGTGATGAACAGCAGAGCTTGTGTCCAAATGGCAGCCAGTGCCTAGTATCGTCTACTCTGCACTGTACACTGGGAGCACCTTCAGGTTACACTTCTGCCACTCCAATGTCATCAACCAGTTCTTCTGTGAAATCCCACAGCTACTCAAGCTCACTTGCTCTGACTCAGACCTCAGTGAAGTTGGGGCTCTTGCCTTAGATGCGTTTTTAGGTTTAAACTGGTTTGTTTTTAGAATTGTGTCTTATGTTCAGATCTTCAAAACAGTGCTTAGAATCCCCTCTGAGCCGGGTCAGAATAAAGCCTTCTCCACCTCCTTCCTCACCTCACTGTAGTCTCTCTGTTAGTTTGCACTGAATCTTTTGCCTACCTGAAACCCACCTCCGGCTTAGCATCAGGTCTGGATCTCATGGTGGGTGTTCTCCATTCCATGGTGTCTCCAGTGATGAATCCGATCATCTACAGCATGAGGAACAAGGAGATCAAAGCTGCATTGAAGAAACTATTGTGTGGAGGTTATTTACCAAGAATTAAAATGTCCGTCATTGCACCTGCACTATAATTTGGGGGGGGGGGGAAGCAGAGGTCCCGACAGGGATCACACTACTATCTCCTAGCAAAATTGTGTGCCTTACACTGCAGGAAATCCCAATCTCCTGGTCTACGTGGCCACTTGCCTTTCGATCTGGTAAGATCCTGGGTAGCCAGTTTAGCTGAAGTCTCTGAATCTGCTGTTCTACTGCTGTCTGCTTATCCCTGACTACCCCCTCCCCAAAACCACAGCCCCTTCCCATAGACCCTCCCCTCTGAGCCGACCCACTACTTTCCACCCAGTATTAAACCCCTGGGGTGATAAAATGGATTAGCTCTCCTCCCTGATGCATTTGCCTCAACACATCCACCTGCTTCAAAAATTGAGGCAGCTGGTTAGGAACCAGCTCAGGATGCTCCAGTCATAAATGTCCCACAAACTGCGGATCACTCATCTCCAAACATTTCTCCAGCAACTCCAAGTCCCGGCACCCCCACCTTGGGTATCACCCATGGGTCGTCCAGGGTATCCACCCAGCACCGTACCCATGCCTGTTTGTGATTAGTTATATCCCACCTTTATTTCCCCAGGTATTCTCCTCATCTTATTCATCCCTGCAGTACAAGAGCACACCCTGAACAACTGTTTCACCACCTGCCCTGGGATCAGAAACATATTCCCCAATCCTGCCACATCAATGCCCAATGTGCCTTGTTCCAACAGGCTGTACCATATGGCCACCTGGTCCTCATGAGCTAAACCCTCCATCTCTCTAACAACATCCACAAGCTGCAGCACAAACTGATCCCAATCATCCAGGGGCACCTTCCCCAGATGATGCAGCAATGCATCCCGGTCCTTTTGGGACAAGGGATGAATCTCTGCCTGGACTACTATTTGAGGAGCCTGGTCCTGTCCCCAACCCCCATCTGGGACTACTATTCCCACCTCCTGGAGCTCCTATGGAGTAGAGGATTCTGACTATGGATTGCCAACTTATAACATCCACTGGCATTCCTGGGTACAATATACTCAGGGGGGAGGGGGTGCTACTTTTCTGCCATCGATGGTGGTGACGGTTCAGTTATTCCTATGCTTACACTGATACAGCTCATCTTCTAAATCTGCCACCATCCCCACCCATTCATCCCTCTCCCGCTGAATTGCCTCACAGGACTCCTCTGCCCTTGCAGCGTCCCATGTCTTTAAATCCGCTACCTCCACTGCTAGTACAGATTTTTCCATTAAAATCCATTGTTGGTCCACTATCCTCTACAAAGCTTTCATATGTTGGAGGAGATCAGCTTACCAAGTATGCCACCCCAGCACACAGACCGTGTAACACCATTCCTTTTTTCCAGTATTCCTTTCCCTTGGGGTCCCCCAAAATCTACCACATCTCCTTTTCAATCTCATCCCAGGTTGACCCCCATATCTGGTATGAGCCCTGATTCTTCCGTATCCATTTATTTAAAAAGTCCGTTCCCCTGGCTTGCAAGAACCTACAAGTACCATCATGAGAGCCCTCCATACCCCTGCCAAGCAGCTGCATGGACAATTGGTGAGAGGGACTTACTTTGCTGCTACTCACCTGTCCAGTGTGATACATCCAAATCACGGCACCAAGATGTTAGGGGGTTTTCCCTTCACCCTGCCCTGGTTCTTTCATGCAGACAGAAAGCAGAAAATTGGAAGTCCGAAGGGCAGGCAATGTGATGTTTATTGGGGTTAATCAAGCAAACATATCCATAGCTATACATGCCACAGAGCCTTCCGTGTGACCGCCTCACCTCACTTAGCAGGCATAATTACTCCTGCAGTGCACACCCCTGGTCACACCCCTTACAATTTATGGTTATGTTCCATTTTGCAGGGTTGTGAGTCTGGGGGCTTCATTACCACCTCTTTTGTATCCCATGGGAGGGGTAAGGAGTGAGGTTGTGCTTCCGTCAGGGAGAGGCATTTCTTTGGTTTTAGTGTTTCTTATACCTTCCGCCCAACCCCCCTGACCACTTACGACTGGTTGCTTGACCTGATCTCTGGAGAGGAGTTCAGGGAGGACTATCCTTCAAGTGTACACTTGTATATTAAACTCCTACTATGCCCAACAACACATTAGCTGTATCTCTTATCTCTTTTCACCCCATCTGCTTGTGGGCAGATGTAACACACCGTGTCTTTGTTCTTTGTTCGCACATGTTAGTAAGGATATAAAATTATCAAATGGGCAAACAAGACCCAAACTTCTATCTCAGTCAAATATACAGGCCTGAATAGTACATTATCATCACTGACGCTCCTAACAATCTACTAACCTGTACGATGAAAATACCCCAATACTATGAGGGTGAGGCAGTTAAGATATGATAAAAGAGGATATATGCATGATGAACAGCAAGGCCTATACATTCTTGGCATGGGTAGGCTCATTGGAATTCTCAGTCGGCATTCTAGAGTCAAACTAGGATCTGTCTCAACCCTTCCAGAGCTCTCAAAGTGTACAGTGAGTATACCCTAGGTAATGGTGCTGGACATTATTACAGGGTTGTATTATTTCTCCTTACATTTGTGGATTGTTTTACTTTCAAGACAAATCAGAGTGATAATAAAAATTTTGCAATCCCAAAATGTCTTCCCAGCGTGTAGGTGTTATTGTCACTGACGTGCACAATGGGGCTCCCAACTAAACAGTAATACTGATAATACCCGACCTGAACTTGGACAAAAATATACCATATTTTGGAGTTTTAATTGGGAACCTAAATAATTAGAATGATCAATACCTAATCAATAGATCAGACAACAGAAGACAAGGCTACATAGTTGTAGGGCTCTCAAATAAACAGTAACTCTGATAATACTGGGCCTGATCTTGGAATAAGAAACTAATTCAAGTTTTAAATGGGAACACTAAATAATTTGGCTGATCAATACCTTATCAATAGATCAGACAACACAAGATGTTGTACAGAGGCCTACACTTTGGAGTATGTGCTTTCTTATCCTTCTCTATAAATAAATAATGCAGATAGTGCTGTCCCTGGATTCTATGGCATTCCACCACCTGTGTGTTTTAGAGGTGACTACAGACTTGCAGTTGTTGGTCTTGTGCAGAGCAGCGCAAATTCATATCTCAGGTAATCTGGCCTGGCAACATTAACTCCAGGTGATGATGAGTCCTTTTATACAAGGACTGGATTTGGCTAACTGCGTGCTACTGCACCACTACGTTTTGGTTGTTGGGGGAGTTGCTCAGATGTTCTCTCTGGCCTTTGTCAACAGTTAGGTTTCTGGGACCTTGGTGAGTCCATGGCTTTTGACACCACCCTGCTGAGTAGAATAGAGAGAGATCACCATTGACAGGGGCTGGCATGGAGTGAGGATGCCGGGCCACTGCCCAGGTCATCAATGCTATTTAGATCACAACTGCTGAGATTTTCAAAGCTTCCTTCGCAATTGGGATGCCAGTTCCCATTAATTTCATTCATAACTGAGTATCCAAATTCCCTAAGTGGCTTTGCAATTTCAACCAAAAAGATTAGAGAAAGGTCAAAAACACTTTTGCTGAGCCCCTCCAGATATCAAGAGGTTTCCAAACTGCAGCTATGTCCAGATATGAGTTTTGAAAGGCCCATCTCTTTAAAATGAGCCAAACACAAACCTCTGGATCAAACACCTATGAACAATGAGGTTTCCAAAATGTAGGTTTGCTCCCATCTCAGTGAGATAAGGACCATCTGATTTAAGATGACAACAAGAATCTGGTCTCACATTGATACAGGACAAAAGGCTATTCTGTTTCATGGATATCTGACAGTCAATGGTAGCTGGGCACATTTGAAAATGAGGCCCCTTTGAAAATTCCAACTGAGCACCTTGTAAAGTGGGAATGTACCCAGCCTCAGAGTTTACAAATGAGCCCTCTCTTTATCTTGGGCAAAGAAAACCACCAGAAACATCATCCCGGAGAGTGGCAGTGCTCAACATTGAGCCTCACGTTCACCTCTGAGTGCCTGAAAACCGTTCCCCCTCTAGGCCACTCATGGGAACATTCCCAGACACATCAAAGTTCATGAAGTCCACTAGTGACTTAGCTATGGCTATTGATATTCTGTGCAACATGCTCAGATAGCAAGTTGATGTTAGCAGTATAAAGCAGATAGATAGGTGTGTATGTACATTTATGGATCGATATTTAGATTCTGATCTTACTTACAGTGGTGTAATTCTAAATTAACTCATTTTACTTCATTGGAGTTAGTCCGGATTTTATGAATTCATAAAGAGATTGCACTCTATGTTCTCAAGGAGACAATTTTGTCATCAGTTGATTATATTCATAAAGAAGCTCAGAATGAAATCTCAATCAAGTACCAATGAAGGACATTTTAATTCTTGGTGAATAACCTCCACACAATCATTTTCTTTAATGCAGCTTTGATCTCCTTGTTCCTCATGCTGTAGATGATCGGATTCATCACTGGAGGCATCAGGGAAGAGAGAACACCCATCATGAGATCCAGACCTGATGCTGAGCTGGAGGTGGGTTTCAGGTACTCAAAGAAGGCAGTGCAAAGAAACAAAGAGACCACAATCAGGTGGGGGAGGCAGGTGGAGAAGGCTTTACACCGGCCCTGCTCAGAGGGGATTCTAAGCACTGCTTTGAAGATCTGAACATAAGACACCATTATAAAAACAAAGCAGTTTAAACTTAAAAACACACTAAAGGCAAGAAGTCCAACTTCACTGAGGTATGAGTCAGAGCAAGTGATCTTGAGTACCTGGGGGATTTCACAGAAGAACTGGTTGATGACATTGGACTGACAGAAGGGTAACTTGAAGGTGTTCCTGGTATGCAGTGCAGAGTAGACACTACCAGTAATCCAGGCACTGGCTGCCATTTGGACACAAGCTTGCCTGTTGATCACTCTCTCATAGTGCAGTGGTTGGCAGATGGCGACGTGTCCGTCATACGCCATGACGGTGAGTAAGGCAAAATCAGTTGAAGTGAAGACTACAAACACTTGGGTGACACATCCAGGATAAGAAATCGATCTGTTGTTCATGATGGAATTGACCATGGATTTGGGGATGGTGACAGAGATGGAGCCGAGGTCTATAATTGACAGATTCATCAGGAAGAAGTACATGGGTGTGTGAAGATGGTGGTCGAGGGCTATGGCTGTGATGATGAGAAGATTCCCCATCAGGCCTGCCAGGTAAATCACTATAAACATCACAAAGTGCAAAATCTGCAGTTCCTGAATGTCAGAGTATCCCAAGAGAAGGAACTCGGTCACCATGGTTTGGTTGGACATTTTCTTTCTCAGTTCTTTGTGTGATGGTTGTGGAGAGAAGGACAAAGACAGTGGTGGGGATTATAGTGACAGAGGAAGTAGCACTGATTCCACGCTGCAATATCTCATGATATGAGTGTCAACGAAGCACAGCACTTGTCACTAGGAGTGGTGAGTTATCACACATGTGCAAATTGGCATGGGCCCCTTAATGTCAATGGAACTGTATCAGTTTACACCATCCGAAGATCTGGCTCAGGATGTGGCTTGATAAAATGCTGAGTGAAGGATGGAGCAAAGCACATCCAACCCCAATGATCTTGCCAAGATATTTCCACCATTGGGGAAATATGCAAACTTGGATGTGGAGGTAACGTATTAAAAAGCTAATGCTGCCTGATTTCCAGTTTCTGAGGAAATATAACATGGAATAATAGAATCTTAGAATATTATGGTTGGAAGAGACTTCAGGAGGTCATCTAGTCCAACCCCCTGCTCAAAGCAGGACCAATCCCCAACTAAAGCATCCCAGCTAGGGCTTTCTCAAGCAGGGCCTTAAAAACCTATGGACTCAGAAAGCATCCCCAATGACAGCTCAGTTGTAAGAATTCCACTGCAACACCACACAGTCGGCCTCTTGCCTGTTTCCAAAACTGATCTGTGGCACCAAATCCAAGCTGCATTTCCATCTCTGTGTGATGAGGGGCTAATAGCATCGCTCAGCTACATCTGTGTTGTGTAATTTCCCTCTGTGACTGTATATCTGGCCTTGGCCATTCAGTGGCCATCAGGAGACTTGGTTTCTATTCTTGGTTCTGCCATGGACCTGCTGTGTTACCTTGGGCCAGTTATCTACCCTCCTTAAACCTCTATCTCCTTTCCCTCCCTTTCTCTGTTCTGTGTACTTCAGTTGTAAAATCTATGGGACATAAGCTGTGTCTTACTATGTTTGTGTGCTCTCCACCAGAGTATTTCTGTTTAGCAGGCATCAGTGTGAGACAGAGGATACGGTGCTAGAACAGGAGATCTGGGGTCTGGCCACATTGTCCTCTTCTATGTAATTTAGCGGAGACAGGCTTTGGCTGGGGGCTTCAATTCTCTGTGCCTCAGTTTAAAGGTGACTGCATGTATAAAACATAGTCTGAGGATACTAACATTGCCACTTTCTCAGTTTTACCATCCTGCACAAATCTCTTTCAAACAGCAATAAATGTGATTGGAATAGAGGGTATTATTGGACAATATCAATGCTGGCCCACTGGCTTAAATATTAGTTTTCAATCTGGGGAATTCAGATATTTTCTGTTTAAATTATTTCAAAGGAAAAGTGGGCTTTAAATTGAACACATTTTTATGATAGGTTTGTGCGATCCTTAAAATCAACGTAAGTATTGGAAAAATCTTTTTTTTTTTTTCAAAAAAAAACCAGTGAAAATTTTTAAGTTTTCAGCATTTTTTAACAGCAATAGTTTGGTTCTCGATTCACAACACCAAAAAATGGTTTGGTTTCTAGAATTTCAATGAAAATAGAAATGTTTATGCTGGAAAAAAATGAGCAGCTCTAGATGTTTGCTTGAATGATAGTAAAAGTTTCAAAGAGTTCCAATTTTAACTCATAGTTCTAGTATTACATTGCTCCAGTATATTAGCACCCAAACATATTTAACTGAAATATCAGACTTACTGTGTTGGTCTTTGAGGAATGTTTCCCAGCCTCTGAAGCATTGGACAGTCCACTGTCAGGATTCTTCAGTCATTGTCTGTCTGTGCACCTATAAGTAATGCCTCATCACTGTGTTATCAAGCTGCTGTCTCCCAGTCCCTTCACAATATTTCCTGAGTTGCTGGGTCTCTCTGCAGTTCCTAGCAGACAGGGACCCACTCCACAGATGGGTGCTCCCCTTTTTGGGCAGGCTTGGCTGAAAGGTGAAGGACTAAATGGGATTGGGGACTGAAAACCCCTCCCAGCTATGAAATTGATCCTGGCTTGTGCGGGATTCAGACACAGTCATAGCCCAGGATGTACCTTGCCTGGAGCTAAATAGCTGAATCTGGTCTCCAGGGCAGTGAGCCCAGCTCTGATCTTACTTCAGGAACAATCCACCTTGACAACCTTCCCTAGCTGACCCTAACCCCACAGAGGGGGAAGAGCACCCAGCCTGAATCTCACACAATGGCAGCATCCCTGAAAGGACCCTTGGTTAAAAACAAGGCAGGGCTGAGTCCCATGTGGCATCCCAAGGGACTCAGCCCAAGGGGATTGCAGAATAGAATATATATTGGTAATACAGACATGAGACCTACAATAGCTCAGAGCCTAGTGGGACCAGATCCCCAGCTGGCCTGGAATAGCCTGTTCCTTCATTAATGCCACATAAACAGCTTTGGCGGAGTAGAGATTTTTTTTTCTCCTGAATTTCATCAGCAGCTCTTGGGATGCAGCCTCCAGAGGAATCGACAGCTCAGACTGCTCTGGGTGTTTGATGTTGGTCACTAAGAGGTATCCAGAGACACACAGTAAAAGCTCAGTGCAATCTCCTAAAATGGTGCAAATTGATACAGTTCCTTTGAGTTCCGAGTAGTTAGGTCTCTTCACACCAAGTGGAGATGTGACTCTTTGATTTCAATGGAGCTACTTAGTTTTAGATTAGTTGGGGATCTGGCCCTAAGATGACCATGAAGCTATGTCAGTTTTCACCAGTTGGGAATCAGGCCTCATTAACTGTACTGGAGCTACTGCTGATTTACACCAGCTGGGGATCTGTTCCCTTAAACAATTTCAAATCCATTTTTTTTTGCTTGTGAATCTGAACTGAATGAAAGACCAAAGTTTCTATCTAGTTGGCACATACTTAGCTCTTTGCCCCATTGGATTAATTGCCAGAGTGTAACTTTTAAGGGTTAAGGAGCAATTCATTCCCACTGGGGACAGAACTTTGGAGGAATTCAGTATTGCAGAGATTTTCTGTAACTGAATTTCAAATGCCATAGGGATGGATGGCCCGACTTTCTTTCTTTCTTTCTTTCTTTCTTTCTTTCTTTCTTTCTTTCTTTCTTTCTTTCTTTCTTTCAGCAATTCTATATATATTAGAGCAGACAACAGGAAAATAAAAGGCACATTAGACTGCAGGTGCAATGCTGCATGTCATCTTAAAACTGTTTATTTCACACGGATCCAGTTACTAATGCTATCCTAATGTCACATTTCCATATGAACAATTTCTGTAGCTTGTGCTGGGATGTTATGTGATGTTGAATGTGCAATGTGGATAGTCCCCATAACTTTGTCTGGGTGGAGAGGCAAAGGATCACAAATGAGAGAGGAACCTTCCACAACACAATCTCTCTACTGGTGTACAGTCCATGTGCTCTAAAAAATAGTCTGAGAACTTCAAGACAGAAAAGTCTGCCGAGATGGGTCACTTTTCATGATTGGGACCAAAGAAAAGCAACATTTGAAAATAGGGCTCAAAATAATTATTGTCTTAATATTAACAAGAGGGCAAATGCTAACGCTGAAGGATCCCTAAAAAGACATGGACTAGGCTGTAGTGCTAAAAGCGTAAAGAAGTCCTTAGACTCCTAAGTTACTAAGGACAAGTTTTAAAGATATTTAGGTGCCTCTAGGAAACTATTGGGGCACTTTTGAAAATGAATCATAGAATCATAGAATATCAGGTTTGGAAGGGACCTCAGGAAGTTATCTAGTCCAACCCCCTTCTTAAAGCAGGACCAATCCCCAACTAAATAATCCCAGCCAGGGCTTTGTCAAGCCTGACCTTAGAAACCTCTAAGGAAGGAGATTCCACCACCTCCCTAGGTAACCCATTCCAGTGTTTCACCGCCCTCCTAGTGAAAAAGTTTTTCCTAATATCCGACCTAAACCTCCCCCACTGCAACTTGAGACCATTACTCCTTGTTCTGTCATCAGGTACCACTGAGAACAGTCTAGATCCATCCTCTTTGGAACCCCCTTTCAGGTAGTTGAAAGCAGCTATCAAATCCCCCCTCATTCTTCTCTTCTGCAGACTAAACAATCCCAGTTCCCTCAGCCTCTCCTCGTAAGTCATGTGCTCCAGCCCCCTAATCATTTTTGTTGCCCTCCGCTGGACTCTTTCCAATTTTTCCACATCCTTCTTGTAGTGTGGGGCCCAAAACTCCCAACAAGGGAACACTGTTGACTCATATCCATCTTCTTGTCCACTGTAACCCCTAGGTCCTTTTCTCTAGAACTGTTGACTAGCCATTGGGTCCCTAGTCTTAAATGGGAGCTCAGCTCCTTAAAGCATTTGAAATTTAGAGTATTAAGTAACATTTTTATTCTAACAACATTCCCTAGCCTCTTTCCCTTTAGCTGAAGAGAGTTTTTAGAAGGAAAAACAAAACAAAGCAAAACAAAACAAAACTTTTCTGACAGTCACTCCTTAACTTTACCTTTTTTAAGCTACATAGATTGAGCTCCTTGAGTCTATTAATATATGGCATTTCTCCAATCCTTTAATCATTCTCATGGCTCTTCTCTGAACCCTCACCAAATTATGCACATCTTCTTGAACTGTGGAGAGAAGAGCATTCCAGCAGCAGTAGCACCACTGCCAAATATACAGGTAAAACAACTTCTCTACTCCTACTTGAGATTCCCTTATTTCCGCATCCAAGGATTGCATTCACCTCTGTTGTACTGGAAGTTCATGTTCAGCTGAGTATCTCCATGACCCCCAAATCACAGTATAGAGTTCCCCATCCTGTAAGTACGGCCTAATTCTTTGTTCCTAGGTGTTCCTAAACATTTACATTTAGCCATATCAAAATGAATGTCCAGTTTAGCAAGTGATCCAGATAACTCTGTATCAGCTGCCCATCCTCTTCATTATTTACCACTTCCCCAATTTTTGTGTTACCTGCAAAGTTTATGAGTCATGTTTTATGTTTTCTTCCGGGGCACTGATAAAAATGTTAAGTTGTGTTGGGCCAGGAACCAATCCTTGCAAAATGGCATATGGTACCACATCAAATGCCTT